CTAGACAAAATGCTATGACCAAACATGCCGATCCGTGTAGTACTCCTCCTTTTCGAAGAAGCTCCCGATGCGTTGCTGTATTAACTTTCAATATTGAAAGTCATGGAGACAAGTTTTGCTCACCCAATCCAGAGAAAAGAAAACCAAATTTTCTTCACCGAGATGAATGAAATGAAGAAAAGTCTTGAAACAAATGATTTCATAGAAAACAGTTTCAAGATCACTTCCCTTCCTGATTTCTATTTGCAAACTCCTAAGTCAGACCAGCTCACAGTCCCTGATCTGTGTTGACGATGCGAGAACTTGGAGGTACATGGGAATCGAAGAAAATTCACTCACGTTCTCAAGGGAGACGGGCATTGGTCAATCTGTCAACATGTCAATCGATGAACATGTATACGCATGTGAAACAGAGAGACATATGTTTCCAGTGAAAATCCCCCATGAACCAACGGCACAGACAGAGTTGTATGTCAGCTAACCACAGGATAGCTTCAGGAGAAGACTTGAAAATCATGTACTCATCCATAGATTGCCATCTCTTGCTTAGATTGACCGAAACTGTTGAATATCTCACAACGTCCCCACCAAAATTATCATTCCATATCATCAGCCCATTCCTATCTTGTTTCCTATCATAGCCATTTGCCTGTTATTCTTAACTCCGCCTGTAGCTCCGTGTTATTCTTACACTTCTGTTTTTTTCATTTTGCTTACTAGGTTTGTTGGCCAGTTTTCCTTTTTATTACTCTTCACATTGCAGCCAAATGAATTTCCTGCTCGGTAATGTGATAGCTACTGGTTCCACAACATTTATAATCCTGGGAATAGTTCATTCTCTCAAATTACAAAATATGAAAAACTACAGATAACTACCAAAATGACTAAGACTAGAGCATTCGAGTAGCTAGTCTCATCTCAATTATACGCCACAAAATATCTAAAACCGTACAGAAAGAACAAAAAGTTAGCGCAAGGATTTACATTGGTCGGCCACTAAGACATTGGATATTGGATGGGCTTTGTAAGGGCGTGCGGCATTTCAGTTTGACGTCGTGATGAGTGACAAGTGGAGTGAGGAGTCTGTAGAGGGCTATCGTAATGGAAATCAAGGTTGCGAAAAACCGACCACAGAGGAAAATAATGAATTAATGGAAGTAGATGGGTCCGAATTCAAAAATGAGGTTTACATTCTGGGCCGGTCTCGTCCACTTGAGGATGACGAAGAGCTAGTTATGGATAAAAGGGCTTATAGAATGTTTTTCGAATTAGAAGTAGAGTTTCCAAGTCTCAGTTTTGATATTCTAACGGATAACCTTGGTTTTGATCGCTGTGTTGAGGTTAATGGTGAGGCTCACAGTGTTTGCCTCATATCGGGTACAGAAGCACCGAAAGATAACCAAAACAAACTTATAGTCATGCGTCTATCAAATATGTTGCCGTTCAGAAGAAAGGTTAGTTTCAATCAAGACTATAATATGTACTACGCCTAACAGTCAATGTAGTTTCGCTCCTTTAAGGATCTTGATGATATCAGAGGGGATCAAGCATCCGAAGTACACTAACTGGTACAGTAAAAGACCGAATCATTCATATGTAAATCAATTATAGGTTTTTTCAGTGAAGCTAAATAGTGTGCGTTTGTTTTATTAGTTTGCTCACCCAAAAGCATGAGCAGTGAAAGCTGCACAGTGGGGTCCTATTCATAAAACGCGTTCGTCTACTAAGCGATGCCTCCTAAAGTTGTGTCTGGTAAAGCTGCCAAGAAGGCCTCGAAGGTTAAGCTGCCGAAGGTTGATAAACGTTTCGGAAACGACTGTCCTAAAGCGAGAAATACGCATAGTTTCTAGTCATCATTGAACTTCCTGGTGTTGTAAAACCGAAGCTTCCTCCATCTGGCCAATTGTAAAAATTTAGGGATTCGGCTCTAAATGAAGCTGAAGTCACATTTGAAATCGGGATAGTGTTGAGCTATGTAGTGACACAACGGCACTCTGCTTTGCTATTTAATTTCTTCCTACTTACTTACGCCTGTTACTCCCAATGGAGCATAGGCCGCCGAACAGCTTTCTCCAACCCACTCTGTCCTGGGCCTTCTTTTCTAGTTCTATCCAGGTTTTATTCATTCTTCTCATGTCCGTCTCTATTTCTCTGCGTAATGTGTTCTTTGGTTTTCCTCTTCCGCTCATTCTATGTATCTAGTTTCGAATGTCTTGGATACCTAGTTGATGGTAATGGTGTTAGACCACATGTGGAATGACTAGCTTCACTGACAAATGCACGGTCTCCAAAAAATCTTACAGAACTACCTTCACTGGTGGGTGCTCTCAAATACTATCCTCATTTTATTCCTAATTTTTCTTATCGTGCCAATTGCTCATTCAATATTTTGAGATTGAATTTCTTCAAATTGGGTGGGGAACAAGAGTCATGCTTGCGAAGTCTCCTAAAGTTTCTTCAGAGTGATTCTGTCCTTTTAATTTAATTCCCTGGTCTACTGATGCATCACCTGTGAGTATTATCGCGGTTTTAAAACGGGAAGGTAGACCAGTTATCTGTGTTTATTATTTGCGTTTATTATCTGTGTTTAACGCAAACTTGCTGAACAATGTTATTCACAAACTCAGTGAGAAGCACCATCTGTTTTTGGACTGTTAAAGACTTCACAAATATTTATTCGAAAAGAAATTCACTATTGTTACTGATCACGAAGCTTTGAAGTTCATTTATCATCCCTAAAAATCCGTAGCACTTTCGTCAACTGCTATGGTTTAACGATGGAGTATTGCTTTGAGTGCCTATGACTATACGGTTCAGCACAGGAGTGCCAAACAAATTCAACATCTTGACCACATTTCTCGATAATCATTGGAAGATAGACTTGTTAATCCTTCACACTGTTTGTTAGTGAAACCTTTACCAGTGAGAAGTCGAGATCTCATTCGGGAAACTCGTAGATACTTTAGATGTATGCTCACTGCTACACGGAAACGTAGGAATAATAATCTGAAACGTGGATTTCCTATCCATTTTTCTAAGCGCAATCGGTTAACCACTACTGCTGATGGTATTTTGTGTGTCAATTATCGTGTCGTTATTTCTCCTTCGTCAACTAAATCAGTCCTTGAAGATCTTTATAGTAGTCATTTTGATGTTGAGAAAATGAAATTTTTAGCTAGATTCACATTTAAGTGGCCTGAGAGGAATGCAGATATATGTCGCACAGAAAACGATGGTGGAGGATGTCATAAGTCTAAAACTAATCGATGGCCAGTATCGTCTGAGGCGTGGCAGACAGTTCATGCAGACTATTGTGGTCCATTTCTTGGCAAATACTATGCACTTGTAGTTATTGATTCTTTTTCAGCGTCCTGAAGTTTTTTCACAACTTCACCGAATTCTGACTTCACAATCCAAATATTAAGAAAGGGTTTTAGTCGAGAATGGTATTGATGACTGGTAGTGGCAACAATTTTGCTGCGGATGCAGTCGCTACTTGGTTGAATGGTATGAGGTGCGGACATCTATTCACTGCTTCCAGTCGGACAAACACTTGATGAACTTAAGAAGAAGACGTTCAATGGATTACAGAAAACGGGATAGTTATTTAAAGTGTGGCAGATATGGTGCTTGTATGAACTAGTGATTCCTTCGTACTTGATATGTGCCTGACTTTGAATTCCATGTTCATTATGTTCGTTTGTGTTCACTTCGTTCCATTTGGACTTAATTGCGTTGTTTCTGGGATTCCTAGTTCATATGATAATTTAAATACTTGTAATTAGTACAACTTTTATTAGCTCTTTTACCCCCAATTTTCGGATTAGAGGAAGCAAATGACTCAACTTTTCAGCGAACTGTCCCATTATTCATGGTGGTGCTGACAAATAACGATTTGTAGGAATGTATGGGTGCAAACGATATCCCTCGTGATACCGAATATGGTTTCATAAAGTTCACCCATGTGCGTCCAGTATTATCTTAGTTTGAGACGACTAGACAAAATGCTATGACCAAACATGCCGATCCGTGTAGTACTCCTCCTTTTCGAAGAAGCTCCCGATGCGTTGCTGTATTAACTTTCAATATTGAAAGTCATGGAGACAAGTTTTGCTCACCCAATCCAGAGAAAAGAAAACCAAATTTTCTTCACCGAGATGAATGAAATGAAGAAAAGTCTTGAAACAAATGATTTCATAGAAAACAGTTTCAAGATCACTTCCCTTCCTGATTTCTATTTGCAAACTCCTAAGTCAGACCAGCTCACAGTCCCTGATCTGTGTTGACGATGCGAGAACTTGGAGGTACATGGGAATCGAAGAAAATTCACTCACGTTCTCAAGGGAGACGGGCATTGGTCAATCTGTCAACATGTCAATCGATGAACATGTATACGCATGTGAAACAGAGAGACATATGTTTCCAGTGAAAATCCCCCATGAACCAACGGCACAGACAGAGTTGTATGTCAGCTAACCACAGGATAGCTTCAGGAGAAGACTTGAAAATCATGTACTCATCCATAGATTGCCATCTCTTGCTTAGATTGACCGAAACTGTTGAATATCTCACAACGTCCCCACCAAAATTATCATTCCATATCATCAGCCCATTCCTATCTTGTTTCCTATCATAGCCATTTGCCTGTTATTCTTAACTCCGCCTGTAGCTCCGTGTTATTCTTACACTTCTGTTTTTTTCATATTGCTTACTAGGTTTGTTGGCCAGTTTTCTTTTTTATTACTCTTCACATTGCAGCCAAATGAATTTCCTGCTCGGTAATGTGATAGCTACTGGTTCCACAACATTTATAATCCTGGGAATAGTTCATTCTCTCAAATTAGATAACTACCAAAATGACTAAGACTAGAGCATTCGAGTAGCTAGTCTCATCTCAATTATACGCCACAAAATATCTAAAACCGTACAGAAAGAACAAAAAGTTAGCGCAAGGATTTACATTGGTCGGCCACTAAGACATTGGATATTGGATGGGCTTTGTAAGGGCGTGCGGCATTTCAGTTTGACGTCGTGATGAGTGACAAGTGGAGTGAGGAGTCTGTAGAGGGCTATCGTAATGGAAATCAAGGTTGCGAAAAACCGACCACAGAGGAAAATAATGAATTAATGGAAGTAGATGGGTCCGAATTCAAAAATGAGGTTTACATTCTGGGCCGGTCTCGTCCACTTGAGGATGACGAAGAGCTAGTTATGGATAAAAGGGCTTATAGAATGTTTTTCGAATTAGAAGTAGAGTTTCCAAGTCTCAGTTTTGATATTCTAACGGATAACCTTGGTTTTGATCGCTGTGTTGAGGTTAATGGTGAGGCTCACAGTGTTTGCCTCATATCGGGTACAGAAGCACCGAAAGATAACCAAAACAAACTTATAGTCATGCGTCTATCAAATATGTTGCCGTTCAGAAGAAAGGTTAGTTTCAATCAAGACTATAATATGTACTACGCCTAACAGTCAATGTAGTTTCGCTCCTTTAAGGATCTTGATGATATCAGAGGGGATCAAGCATCCGAAGTACACTAACTGGTACAGTAAAAGACCGAATCATTCATATGTAAATCAATTATAGGTTTTTTCAGTGAAGCTAAATAGTGTGCGTTTGTTTTATTAGTTTGCTCACCCAAAAGCATGAGCAGTGAAAGCTGCACAGTGGGGTCCTATTCATAAAACGCGTTCGTCTACTAAGCGATGCCTCCTAAAGTTGTGTCTGGTAAAGCTGCCAAGAAGGCCTCGAAGGTTAAGCTGCCGAAGGTTGATAAACGTTTCGGAAACGACTGTCCTAAAGCGAGAAATACGCATAGTTTCTAGTCATCATTGAACTTCCTGGTGTTGTAAAACCGAAGCTTCCTCCATCTGGCCAATTGTAAAAATTTAGGGATTCGGCTCTAAATGAAGCTGAAGTCACATTTGAAATCGGGATAGTGTTGAGCTATGTAGTGACACAACGGCACTCTGCTTTGCTATTTAATTTCTTCCTACTTACTTACGCCTGTTACTCCCAATGGAGCATAGGCCGCCGAACAGCTTTCTCCAACCCACTCTGTCCTGGGCCTTCTTTTCTAGTTCTATCCAGGTTTTATTCATTCTTCTCATGTCCGTCTCTATTTCTCTGCATAATGTGTTCTTTGGTCTTCCTCTTCTTCTTTGACCTTCTGGACTCCATGTGAGAGCTTGTCTTGTGAAACAATTTTGTGATTTCCTCAAAGTGTGCCCAATCCACTTCTAGCACTTCTTCCTCCGCTGGAATCTGGTTTGTTGTCTCCCACAGTAACTTGTTGCTGATAGTGTCTGGCCATCGGATCCGAAGTATCTTGCTTAGACAGCTGTTAATAAACACTTGTATCTTCTGGATAATGGCTTTCGTAGTTCTCCACGTCTCCGCCCCATACAGTAGAACTGTCTTGACATTTGTATTGAAAATTCTAACCTTGGTGTTGGTTGACAATTGTTTTGAGCTCCAGATGTTTTTCTGTTGTAGGTATGCTGCTCTTGCTTTGCCCATCCGCGCCCACATCTGCATCTGATCCACCGTGTTCATCAATGATGCTGCCCAGATATGTAAAGGTTTCCACATCTTCCAAAGCTTCTCCATCAAGTGTGATTCGATTGGTGCATATTGTATTGTATCGGAGAGTCATGCTTTTCCCTTTGTTTATATTGAGGTGTACTGCTGCTACACTGGTCGTTTTCTCCTGCATTTGTTGCGTTTGTGATAGAAGAGCCAGATCATCCGCGAAGTCTAAATCGTCAAGCTGCATCCTGCCTGTCCACTGTATTCCGTGCTTTCCTCCAGACATTGACGTCTTCATGATCCAGTCGATCACCAGGAGAAATAGAAAGGGTGAGAGTAAGCAACCTTGCCTTACACTGGTCTTTACTTCAAACGAGTCGGTGAGTTGTCCTCCGTGGACGATTTGGCAGTTTAGTCCATCATAGGAGTTCCGTATGATATTGACTATCTTCTCAGGCACGCCGTAGTGTCGAAGAAGCCTCCATAGTGTCTTCCTGTCCACGCTATCAAATGCTTTCTCGTAGTCGATGACGTTGATGTAGAGTGATGAATTCCATTCGATTGATTGTTCCACAATGATACGTAGAGTTGCGATTTGATCTGTGCACGATCTATCCTTACGAAATCCAGCTTGTTGATCTCGAAGTTGGGCGTCCACAGAATCCTTCATCCTGTTTAACAATACTCTGTTGAAGACTTTTCCTGGTATTGAGAGAAGAGTGATGCCTCTGTAGTTATCGCACTTGCTGAGATCGCCTTTCTTTGGTATCTTGATCAGAAGTCCTTTTTTCCAGTCTATTGGTACTTGTTCTTCATTCCAAATCTTACTGAAGAGGATGTGGAGTGTCCTGGCAGTTGCTGCTACATTTGCTTTCAGTGCCTCTGCCGAGATGTTGTTTGGTCCCGCTGCTTTGCCACTCTTAACTTGTCTAATGGCCATGCTGATCTCCTCAATTGTTGGTGGGCCAACATCGATTGGGAGGTCTGTGGGTGCTGCTTCGATGTTGGGTGGGTTCAGTGGAGCTGGTCGATTCAAGAGTTCTTTGAAGTGTTCTACCCACCTGTTTCGTTCTTCAATGTCGGTGATTACTTTGCCTTCCTTGCTTTTCACTGGTCTTTCTGGCTTACGGTAATTTTTAGCAAGTTTCTTTGTTGTATCATATAGTTGTCTCATGTTTCCCTCTCTTGCAGCCTTTTCCGCTGTCATCGCTAAATCTTCCACATATTTACGTTTGTCGGTTCTGATGCTCCTCTTCACTTGCTTGTTTGCCTCTGTGTATTCGGCTTGTGCCTTGGCTTTTTCCGCTCTGGTTCGGCTGATATTGATTGCTGCTTTCTTGTTCCTCCTTTCTTCAATTTTATCCAGTGTACCAACAGTGATCCATTCCTTGTGATGGTGCTTCTTTTGACCCAGAACCTCTTGACATGTTGAAACGATTGCCTCCTTGATACCTTTCCAGTTGCTCTCCATGGTAGTTCCCTCTCCATTGAGTAGATCATGAAAGGCCTGGAACCTATTGCTGAGGGCTATGTTGAATTTGTTGAGTTTGTCAGTATCTCGAAGAAAGGCCGTATTAAACTTTTGTGATGTTGTCCGCACAGTTGTCCAGTGCTTCTCGAGTTTTAGTTTCATCTTGGCGACCAGCAAATGATGATCGGATGCTATATCAGCTCCTCTTCTGGTTCTCACATCCTCCATCGTCCTCCTGAACTTTTTGTTGATGCAGATATGGTCGATTTGATTCTGTGTAGTGTGATCCGGTGAAATCCAAGTGGCATTGTGTATGTTTTTGTGTGAGAATATGGTGCCACCTACGACCAGTTTATTGAAGGCACATAGGTTTGCAAATCTCTCACCATTTTCGTTCCTTCCTCCCAGTCCATGTTGTCCCATGACGTCTTCGTATCCAGTGTTGTCCATTCCAACCTTAGCATTGAGATCTCCCATCAGAATTGTCAGGTCCTTGGTTGGGCACTTCTCGACGATCGACTGCAATCTGTCGTAGAATTGGTCTTCATCGTAGTCATTGGTAGGCTCATAGCATTGGATGACGTTCATTGTAATGCCCTCTCTCTTTGTTTTGAAGGAGGCTTTGATGATCCTTGGTCCATGAAGTTCCTATCCTATAAGTGCATTTTGTGCTTTTCTGGACAGCATCAATGCAACTCCTTGTGTATGTGGGGCATTTTCTTCTTCATGACCGGAGTATAACAGAAGTTCTCCTGAAGACAGTCGTTGTTGTCCAACCTGCGTCCAATGTGTTTCGCTGATTCCAAGCACCTCCAGGTTGTATTTTCTCATTTCTGCAGCAATTTGGAAGACTCTTCCGGTCTCCCACATTGTTCGGACATTCCATGTACCTATAAAAATTGTCGCTCTGGTTGTAAGAAGGTGCATCGGCCTCATGACTTCCGAAGGAACTCGGCTTTCATCATGAGACGTCATAATTATTCCTTCTACTCCCAGGGCAGAGTTTGAATGATTTTTTCTGGTTAGCGTTTTTTTAGCGAGTTGATTTTCTACGGGATGGGGTCGCTAACCCCATGCCCAACCCTCCTCCTTTACCCGGGCTTGGGACCGGCAGTAACCCCCAGAGGAGCTACAGGCGGCTCTAAATGAAGCTGAATTCACATTTGAAATCGGGATAGTGTTGAGCTATGTAGTGACACAACGGCACTCTGCTTTGCTATTTAATTTCTTCCTAGCTAGTCGATATTTGACGTTCAAATGCTGTAGTAGTATGGTTTAGATAGCTTTAGCGAATTCATTCTCCAGTGCATTTTTTGAAGTCCGGTGGGTTAGCTTCACTATTTAGTCTCTGAATACTTCTAGACAAATCATTGTCAGTGTTTATCAATTTGCAGTTCATATATCTCTTCACACCCCAGTCATTTTTTTAGAATTTACGTCAAAGTTTATAGCTAGTCAGTAGGAATATTCACCATTATCCTTTGACCGCTTACATTTTTTTGGCAATTCTTGGTTTATTATGTAAGATGAGACAGTTAATTAGGTGTCTGAAAACATGCGGGCAAAAATATCTTTATAGGGTTAGTGAAACAAAAGTGATGTAAAAATGTGTTGATGAGCAAATTACAAACCAATCAAAGAGGTAGTCATTTTGTTATTAAACTAAATGCCCACACTGCCAAGAAATTCTAGTTGTACATTCTACTTAACGTACAGTTAATCCGTATCTACTATTCTTTGATAACTGGTGATCTAGTTGATTTGCTGTACTAAACAAGTTGTGTTTTCACTAAAAACTGAGATATAAGAAGATAAAATGAAAAGCAAAAGTCTATTGTTCTTACAATACATAGGGAGTCATGTTTGTAAAATAAGTACGGATTTTAGTCTTGTGGACCAACAGCTAGATTTGATGGTAGCTTAATGTATATCCCTGGTGTCATCCCCAATTGAAATGCACCCGTTGCGTTTGTGCTCTCAATTTTGTACGGTTAATAATAAAAAACCCAGATATTATAGTGTTGATGTCAGTAACTATGTGGTTTACTGTTGCACTTTAATGACATCTACAACTTCCATGATTGTTAGAGACTTTCTGCACAAAGTTCGTACGATAATACTTTGACATATAATGCCGTTCTACCTGTATTTCAGGAATTATTTCAGTTTCATTACCTGGAAAGTCGACCTTCTGTTCTATGTACTTGGGTAGATGTTCCTTTGATATATTAGATTGCATAAATTTATATCGATTGGCGAATATGCTTCGATGACTGATTGCCGGAAATAATCTCACTGACTATTGAAAAACGGTACGGTCAGTGGTGTCGTAGATTCCTTCAGTCTCTACTTACCTCTTACTATTCCCCCATACCTAAACGTTTGTGTATGTTAATAAAACCACTAATTTTCATATATATATATATATATATCGGTTGGTTTTCTGTATTTCATTTTCTTTTGTTTCACTGTAAACATAAGATGATTGTTTTCCAAAATTCGTGTTAGGAATGTTCATTCCCCAATTATAACTTATGAGAGAGGAAATCGATGTCGATTTAGGTGAATATTTGTGACAGTAAATTATTCACTGTTAACTTTGCTAATGGACATTTTCTGGTATGATTTTTGTTCAGTATCAAGTACTCAATTCACAAGTTGTGATCGACTAACTCAAATGTATCTTCAATTGATATACAGGAGTCATCTTGAAAAGGCCTTAGTCACTAAACTGATCTTTTCACTCCAGTTAGTGGGTTAAAGAAGAGGACGAAAGCAGTCTCGTTCACTTTATTGAATTTGCAGTTGTGAAACATTGGCATCTATCAGTTTCTTCGTCTATTCTTAAATTACTACTCTAGTCATTTTATCTTATTTGTTTGGCACCCACAGAATCCTACTGAAGACACGGATTCTGATTCAGAGGACGAAAGTGATTCTGAAGAAGATCTTGATGCGGAACCTGATGTTGAGGCTGCTACTATCCTACATCAAGGTACAGTCAATCGAGTCCGGGCCAGTCAACATAGGGGTCGATACCTTGCTGCATCCTGGTCAGAAAATGGATTGGTTAGCATTTTAACGTTTTTATTTAGCATAATATTGCAGTATGGTGCCTCAGTAAATATACAATTAATTTCACTTGTTCTCGTATGGTCTTAAATAAAAAGCCAGTAGAAGCACATACGTGATTGTTATTATGTTTGCTAAAACTTATTATTGTTATACGATTGATATCATGTATTCCATCAGTCAGTTAATTGTATACTCTTCTTTTAGTTTAACTACAATTATTAACAGTAGGGAATCATGACACTGAGTTGTTATCGGTTGTGCAGAACATTTTATTCGTTGACTTGCTACCACTTAGGCCTCTATGTATCAAAATAATTTTAACAATTCTAATTACCACCGTTAACACGAGTAACTTGTTTGGTCAAGTTTTCCTGAAATATTGGGGTTTGTTATCATTTCATTTGTGATCTTATTTCAAACTTGACAGATTGGAACAAAATAAGATGACTAATTCACTAAACTTATGTTTATGTATTCAACCGTAAGTCGCTTATGATATACAGGCCAGCAATGCTATCTGAGTGCCTAAATTGAAGTAGATAATAAACTGAAATATTAAACGGTTTACTTAAACCATTTTCAGTGTTGAAAAGGATTTATTTATTTATTTAAACACAAATATTGGTACAAGGAAGCACCAGATATATATGCGCCCCACAAATCTCATTCGATTTGTGTGAGGGCTGTGATACTGCCCAGGTGCCCAAACTGAAGCAGGTGGTTTTTTTAGGGGGCCACACCCGGAGCCTTTGACCTGAATGTCTGATCCACAAGGCAGTGGAGCATCGTGAGGAGATGCAGTCCCATGGTAACCGGTGATCAACGGTTGATTTGTACGCCATTTGTCCCCTCAGCATACTGGAGCCCATGTGCACCACTGGTTTGGAATTAGGGTTTTCCAACTCCCCTAGGTGGACCCTCCATGTCTACCAACCCGGTTAAAGCGCCGGACATTCGCTTTTCGTCTTCTCAGTTTCGTAAACAACACCCCGGCCACGAGAAGGCAGTGAGTAGGACTTCCCTGGCAGAGGCTATATATTCGCTGGCCATATGAGAGCATTTCGAGAGGGAGAGGTGACTCTCCCCACTCTCGACCGTACCAAGGCATTTGGGGGCTGTGGAATTGATATACAGTTATAATTTCTATTTTCAATTATGTGCATCAGCATGAAGACTTCATTTATTAAGCATGTTTACTTTTCTCGTTCCTGCTAAATACCAATCCAAAAGCTTTTGACGGACGGAGCTTTTTTAGTTACAAAGCCCTGTTGTTCACCCAGCAATCAGTTTGCCATTTTTGAGTATGAGTTTTCAAATAATCTTTGAGTCTGAAAAATACTTGTTGGTTTTAATTAATTCACAACAATATCTTTCCAGAGTCTCTCATTTTACGTATCAATGATATCAAAAGTTTCAATGTTATATGTTGAGTGGTAATATACATAATTAAACGGTTGTCCGTTAAATTTTATACATTGATGTAAAAACTGGTTAACACTGAAAACCGCTCTTGATTCTGTTTCAACAAAAATGGTTTATGTAAGATTACCCTATAGAAGAGAATCAAATAGCATAATTCCAAAGCTGAGGCTAAAATCAGCCATGAAAAGCATGGTGCAGAATTGGTTATTAGATAGACAAAACCCATGCTTTCAAATGGGGCCGAAATAGTATACTCATCACGTCCCACTGTATGTAGGAACTCACTTATTTGTGGCCACATCGCAAGTCGAATGTTACAATCAAAGGTGATGAAATATATGCCTAAATAACCTAATGATCAACCGGTCTCAGATGCATGAATGGAAGCAGGGAGTAGAGGACAATGCTCGTTAATTGCAAAACAACTGAAACAGGTCTTAGGGATTGACCTTAAAACAGCTCTTGACGCTATTTATAGAAATTATCTGGAGCCCATCCTTAAGTTTGTAACAACTTTGGTCATCAAAAAACGCAAACCTTTATGTGTGCAAAAACAGTTGGTCTTGATCTGTAATCTGCCCCGGTAACCTGTAATTTGTTTTAAGGTTAAGTTTGTTTCTAAAACTTGTTTTTTTCATATCAGATTATTTTCTCCCTTTATTTCTAGTTATCAATTTATGTTGATTTGACGTTTATTTAATTAATTTCCAAGTTTCATATAAAATACCTCGACAAGTATGTGTGTGACTATATTGTTCAAAATGTTTTGCTGAAACACATATTTTTCAAATGAACCCCGTCTTCTCATCACACTTTCAAAGTTTATATGAGAGACTAACAATTTATTAGAAATTAAAGTGCCGAAATGTCCGTAAATTGTATGTAATCGCAATGTTCAAAGCCAACTCAAATAATCCAATTAGCAACAAATAAAAATGAGATATTTCACTATAAACCTTAACGCAAAGTCTACCAGCTGTTATCAGTTTTTCTTTTCGCAAGCCTGTTTTTTTGTTACCTTTCATATCAGTTATACCCCTGAATTTTAGTCTTCATGCTTTGTTGAGATGCATAACACTGTTCATTACTAAGTTACATTAGTACCTTTCTAATCGTCCGAACTAATGAACTGAACTAGTGGTTCCAAAAGTTGTTCTTAATAAGTTAGTTAAATAAATCAAGCATTGCTCGTTTATCCTGGGACCACCGGGTAAGTAATGCAGTTGTTAGGAAACGGGTACTAGGTAATGATGGCAAATCGATTGATGAAGTAGTGAAACTTTATCGGTTGAGATGGCTGGGACATGTGTTACGTATGCCCAACCACCGATTGTCCAGACGTGCAATGTTTTATGGCGTAAGTGTAGGTTGGAAGAAAGCTAGAGGCAGTCAGACCAAAACGTGGCACAAAACCATGAAGTCACTGACAAGTGGACTGAGCCATGTTGGTAGATGTAGACTACCTGGTTGGGATTCGCGAGATGATAGCAACCGATGGTTAGAGACCTTGAATGACATGGCTCAAAATCGTTTGCAATGGCGAAGATGCATCCACTCTTTGTGTTCTGTCAAATTCTAATCTTCTGAATTCTCCATGTCCCTATCTTTTTTCTCTCTCCAAATTTATTTCACTGTATTATACTCCTTCAATAACATCTTCAAACCCTAATCTTTCACATAATGCTTATACTCTTACTACTTCTATCACTATAGGATTTGAATCGACAACTGCATCTCTGTGCTAATTTGGTATGGCAACTCGAACTGATGTACGTATGTACGAAGTCCTACGTTGTGATTGATTGAAACCTACAAGAAAATCCTGCTCGATTCCTTTGTATATATCTTTTGTGATATATATATATATATATATATATATATATATATATATATATATATATTTATTTATTTATATGATATAAGAAGTTGCTTGTAAATATAACTGGATGACGTAAAGTTTATTTTTTCTTTACTCCTTAACCACAATCATTCTCTCATTCAGGTATTCATATGGGATTTAACCAGACCCGTTACGGCTGTAAATGATTCTGCTGTCATGGCTGATTATGTACGTCATAATGAATCTCCTTCACCTTTATTCACATTTAATGGTCATAATTCAGAAGGCTTTGCTTTGGACTGGGGTATTCATACTAATTCTTCAGGACATTTAGCTACAGGAGATTGTAATGGTCGTATTTATCACTGGATACCTCGAGTAAGTAGTCTTCTTTTTTTTTTACTATTATTCATGATTAACTTTGCTAGGATGTGGTTATATCTATGTAAGTAAGAATTAAAGTTATTATCATAAATAATGTTGTTTATATTTATCACCATTTTTTAATTCTTTACTCCAATTAGTTTCTCGAAACTAGGTAAATACACACTATTTCTGTACAACCTAATACTTGAAATCCCATAATTTTTAGACTAGAATACGTTGTTGTCACTTGATTAATCTTGTTAGGCTAATGTGGGAATACAATGAACATATAAAAGGGAGTAGCTCCGTGGCTCCATCTTTTAAGAAGCTTTGTTTTGACAAATTTGCTGTTCTCTTAGTATGGTAGTGTGATTCCCAGATTAATGAAGCATGTACATGACTTTGTAATTTGTAAATTTTTTCGTTGTTGGACTACGATGACCTTTCTAGTTGTGTGTGTTGGCAGTGGTATAGTTGGTGAAACTAGTCTACACGTAGTGAAAACTGGAGGTTATACAGATTTGACCCTCTCTTATCTCCGCCGTGCTTTTAGTGTACCTGCAAAAAGGTCAAGTCTGCAAGGCATTTTTGAAAGCAGCTCTATGTTTGCGAAAACTAACCATTTAGGATTTTCTGCGACTCTGTTCGATCGTTGTTGTCTCTCAAGGATTGCTGACATTCATTGGTAACACCAACCTCTTCTAGTAACCCTCAGGCCAAACTACAAAGCAGCCTGAACACAAAAGAAAAGGCACGAAATATGGAAGAAAACGCTTTACTTCAAAGGTTGGTTCCTGTACAAAAAATCTAGGATTTTTATAATATTTCAGATGGCCTTGGGTTTTCGAAAAATTTTGGAATGCTACTAAACATAGTAGTAGTATAATTAATCGTTCAATCGGAAACTCAGCATGTGACTTTCCACTTTTTAAATGTTTCTGGCAAAACTCCTAGTGAATGGTAATTGGATAAAATGCTTTTGAGTGTTTGCAGAACTTCTTTTGGCTGTTTTTCGAGGAGTTTTCTTGATCTCTCCAACAGCGCAGTATTTGCAGACTGTAGGACTGCTTGGAAAAAGCTGAGAGTTGTTCATTAAATGAAATCGTACTATGATATGGAAGAAATTTGCATAGGACTGGACTAATGCTTCTAACCATACGATTAAGGGACGCGTAAAGTATGGCAATCAAAAACGCATAATAATCTCCAATGTGGTACTGCTATTCTAAAAATATATGGCGGGCATGCATTACAAACTAGAATACGTGAGTTGTCTACAACATCTACCGTATTTGTATAAATCAAAGTAGGATGCTTCCTAAAATGGATATATAAAGGTTGTTTGCAACAGCATAAGATAAACTATTTGATAAAAAATACCTGTGTCGAAACTACAAAGGTAGAAAACAATCGAAAATGGGAATGAAGAGTGCTAGGATGGAAACTGTTACAATAACGTAAGTGTTCAATGAGTACACTAGAACTGGAAACAAGTGTTATGAATGTAAAGGATATGCATTAACGGTGATAGACAAATCGAAGTCTATCAGTCCGTGTAAATACTTGGATTATTGGAACAACACATATAAGCGACCAAATTTTTTAAAATCAGATCCTCATCAGACTTTGCTCTAATATACAGTAATATTTATATACATTTGCGTAATTATTAAACCAATTAAGGTAATGTATAAGTGAGTGATAACAGTGGAATAAATAGACAAACAGACGTAATAAAAAAGAAAGTACAAATTGATAGTGTGGTAGGTATACCAGTTTTAATAAGAGTAACAAAGGCTTGAATCAGTGTTTCACTATAAGAAATAGATCAATAACTTGGGAAATATAGACGCTGAAATAACATTCACTGAGAATTATAAGATTACGTAATAAGAAGTGTCCAGATGATCGTACAATAAAACGTTTATTTGAAGAAAAAAGGGGCGAAAAAAAACAAACAACCCAGGAGTATGAAAAACAATAAGTGAAATCTTTTGTTATGGCTAATTCAGCCAAGGAAGAGATAAAGGTGTTACAGATTCCTTATGAATACAGAGGATTGTTAGCCTGAATCCCCTATGGCTTCTGCTATGTGTAAGAAACGTGATCGAACCCCATAAGGAAAACTGGTAGGTGAATCACTTTGAGTGACTTATTTTTATTTACTGCTGTTATAATTGTATTTTGCTATATAAACGACCCAGCTATTCCTATTGCTTAGTATTCTTATACGATGACACTCAACAAGACCCCAAAATCAGAACACGTTGAACAGGAATCAAATTGTATTCAAAAATAACAATAGTAAGTGAACAGCAATCACTAGTTTGAATAACGTTCATATATTTATAGTATATACATAAGAAGCTTCTAGATTTTTCTCCAATAATTTACCAGGGCTGATTGGTTTGGAATTAGCCAATCAGCGCGCAGCAACACTATCATGCATGAAACATGCTTTAATCCAATCTATGTCCCACTATCAACTGCATGAAATATTTCACAACTTATAAACACATTAAACTCAAAAGATATTATAGTTAAAACTGATTACTGATTATTAGCAAGTACTGTAGTGTTTTACACAAAGGGGGTTGGGAAAATAGAAAACTCATAATTAACAAGTGAGATCTGTTGGTTCATCATCACTCTGAATAAGGTCTGAAGAATAGTGAAACCCGTTAGTTCAATAGATTATCAGACATTTCCCGGGACAGAAACCAGTGATGATCCTTCTGTAATTTAATTATACATTCTTAAATGTGAGACAACTTTAAGTAAAAGAATTTCGAATTGTTTGGGTTTTTTTCTGAACTATCTCTCTCGTTGTTTACTATTTCGCTAAATATCTTATTCACTTATTCTTCTCGTTAAACATACAACCCTTTTCCTCTCAATTTTATCTATGCTTTGCGTGGTGCATCTTATTTTGGGTGCCTTACTGTACCAGTTTTTGTACCTTTATATTTATGTGTGCAGTTAAGCAAGGCCACACAGATTCCAGAACATTGTAATTGTCTTTAAAAGTAAGGAGTTAGAAATTATCATAGAAACATTTGAGTTGACATCCGACACATGTCCATATCTTAAAACTGGGAGTTTATTACCCACAAAAGGATAAAATGCTCAGCTTGGAAATGATACTCTATGTCAATAATTCGTTTATGAACAATTTTATTTTGTCTTGTGTAGTTAATAAGTTACCTAATATATGTTTAAACCATAACAAGTTCTCGACACTATCAACACAGCGATTCTTTTTAAGAATCATTGTAGTAACAGACATTTAAACGGACAGTTTGGTGAGATTTATTTATTTAAGAAGCTATGTACTGTAAGTCATGTAATTCCACCGACGACGTTTTAAATAATTTCATGAAGTTCAACTTTCGTCTTCACTAACCTTTAGTTTTGGAGCTTAAACGTTTTTTGCAGTAGAAACAATCTTCATATCAATTTTATTCGTATGGAGTTGTGATCATGTTATCAACCATTATGTCTAACGGTCGAACCTAATCAAGTTACCAATCTCCAAACACCTAAATAGTACGACTATAATTTACAAAATTGTTATGGCTCATGACATTGTACATCAATCTACGTAAATTTGTTGAGCTATATTGATTTTTATTGTTCGTTTATTGAACATCTTGATGGAGGTATACAATTTTTAGAATAATACTTTTATTGATTATTCTCCGAATATGTTTGAAATTCCTCTGTTAATTACTGACCATTTGCTTCCTAGTCACTAAGTTTATATGTAAGCCTGGTCATAAATCAATAATAAATCCGTGTCGATGTGAAACAGTTGTTCTTCTTTGATGTTATTTGTAACATGATTTTTAGGCTGTAAACCTGATCACTAGAGAGTTATCTTGGTCTCCAGCATTTCCAGCCATTTATGCACTAACTATACATTGCGTAAAAGTAATCAACAAAGGTAAAAGATATTTCCAAATCCAGTATTTGTTAAGAAAAACTAAAACCTCATTTCGCTATTCTGAGTTGAAATAACTCTACCGTAAGGATCCCCCTGTTAACCTAAGTGTATACACTTTCTTCTGAAAGGGATAATTCTCTGATTACAGCGTCGTGATATTGAAAGTTGCTAACATGAACGCTCTTAACATCAAGATGTTACCATATTATCGCCATTTCGATTACTCTCTAATCATAGATGGTATTTATATTCTTAAGTAAGTGATTCGTATTCGAAATGATATTCTTCATCATTTTCCAACTTAATAAACATAAAATTTGTCCATTAATATCAGTAGTTTGTGTCATATTAATGTATTGTTGAGTGATAGTCCATTATCTTACTGTTTTCAATTTTTTCAACTTCTCAGTCGTCTGACTGGGCTATATCAAAAAGAGCCTATTTAGGTCATACAGATTCAGTTGAAGATATTCAGTGGTCTCCTACGGAACCCACTGTATTTATCTCTGTTTCTTCGGATCATAGCATACGCGTTTGGGATGTTCGCGCACCAATATCGAGTGGCAGCATGCTTACAGTTTCAGAAGCCCATCCAGCTGATATAAATGTTGCTTCTTGGAATAAGTTGCAAGCTCTTAATTTTCTAACGGGGGGAGATGATGGAACTTTAAGAATATGGGATTTACGATTAGTTCACAGTTGTTACAGTGGCAAAAAGTCGAACAATGGATCTCTACCTGCTTATACGCACTTATTTGATGTAAGTATCACTATTATGAACTTTTCTTTTATGTTGACTAGTCACATACGGTAGATATAAGTTGTTATAGCATTATTCAGTGTGTTCACTAATTTTGTCACCTCATTTAACCTGTATTGGATTTTCGTTATGGTAAACAGAATAATATGTTTTAAAGATCATTATCACTAAAAGTTAATGGTTTGTTGATATTAGAGGACTCATATTTTGACTCCCGAATCGTTAAAATTAATCTAATAGTCACTTGTAAAAGATTAAACGGTAAAGTGATGGGTGAATTCTGGCATATAGCCGGGTTTTAAATAATATTGGTAATAAGTCCATGTGATTATTTTCTAGGGAGCTATCACGTATGTAGTTGTAGGTATAATTTTCTCTTTAGTGACAAATACAAGGTATTCAACGTATAAAGCTCCTCATGTTATTTTCTTATTGCTGACTGAGCTTCGGTTGGAATCGAACCGTGTTTACTCCTTTTGAGACACAATGTGAACAATCCCAGTCAGACAAATTGATTTGATTTATGCTACTTACATAAGTTATACTATAAATCACAGTTATTTTGTGAGGGATAATTGTACTATCAGGTCATAAAACTACACAATAGGACAGTAAACATGCTACACTTAGACCTGATCAACGTAGAGCCGGAGTCAAACGTACGTTAGCCTAACTCTACACCACGTCAACACAAGATAAGAATAACAAGATGAATGACAAAAGTTGGGATAACTGTGGTTACAATAAAATTGGGGACTGAGTTTTGAGAATATGAATCAAGAAGAATAAATAAAAAGGCACACATGAAAAACTACTGAAACCCACGATGAAGAATAAATCAATGCGCGCCATCGTGGATGATTTTGAGCTGTTTGACCCAACGTCCTCAACCACTGACTGCACAAACCCCAATCACACCTGTATATACTAACGTGTCTTAAGCTACCAGTCAATGACTTTTGTCGCCTGCAGGTTGAGTTAGTCCCGCAAACGTGAAACACAGTATTGGCGTAAGTATAGTCGAAACAGGTAAACTGTATAGTTAAACGTTACCTGTTTCAAACGGTAGTAAGGAATGCAGCAAATAAAATCAGTGGAAGAATCATTTTTGTTTTTTAAAAACAAACAAAATTTCATGATTGACAATTAAGCGAAACATGATCGACTCTAGACCGAATTGAGTCTAAGTGGTAAGCGTTTAACGTAAATATTATTGGTTGATTCATTTATGAACCAGAAACCTTTCTCATTTGATGGAAATCTACAAGCTCATCAAATGCCATAACATCTTTGCTTCGACTCAAGTTTACTCACCCCGTCAATTCCAGAAAACTTAGATTAGTTGACTTTAATTTCCAGGCGGAAGTCGATGAAATTAAGAAAACGCATAATGGGCTATTCTGGGCACTGATTTTGACAGTTCACCATGAGTTCTGACTCGAATGATATTTGGGTAGAGAGCTTTCACAAGTATTATGTACTTCTCTGGTACGCTTTTTAGTGACAAGCACTGTTACATAACTTGCAACACTGATTGGGATTTGAATACCCAAATCAATAACCGAAAAAACAGTGTGGACTATTTGTGTCAACTTAGTTATTGGGGTTAGCATAGTTTAAATAATCCAATAGACTATACATTCTGTCTGAAGAGTATTATTAATCCACTCATGAAAGTTATGGTTTCATTTCTATTACACGGATTCCGACTAGCTACCATCACGTTAAGTTTACTTTTGATACCTACTAAATTATTTTGTTGTAAAATCATCCCAGTGTCAACTGTTGTTGTCATTATTATAGTACGACGATGTATTTTGGTTTGTGTTGTAGTACCACAAGAAACCAATCACATCAGTAGAATGGCATCCAAACGACGCTGGAATGTTTGTAGCTACATGTGAAGACGATCAAGCTACATTCTGGGACATTAGTTTAGAACAATCTGAACAAGAAGTAAAACAGTCAAATGAATCAAGTTCAAATCATGAGGCAGATGAAGAAGAGGATTTAGGCATACCAGTCCAAATGTTATTTGTTCATGGTGGTCAAACAGAGCTAAAGGAAGCACACTGGCACCCGCAGATACCAGGACTAGTATTTACAACAGCATTAAATGGCTACAATGTTTTCCGTACTTGTAATATTTAAAATCCTCGGTGTTACCTTACGCCATGTAAATGCAACGCGTCTTTCGTCGTTCAATTACTCCATAACTTTTCTTATAAAATAACCTAATGCTACTTTGAACTGGTTCGTTCGAAACCAATTGAATCAAAGCTGAGTATGCTTCACCAAAATACAACTACTTTTGTACACATTGATATCGATTTTATGCTTCGCCAACGTACCTTAGGTCCCGTTATATATTACAAACAATTAGTCTGAAGTGATATACAACCTAGTTGTACGTTGGTGTGTGGCTTTTCAGAAATCCCTACAAATGTGTTAGATGTTCATGAAATGATAAGCGATTGTCTTTGAGTAATCCAACGAGCAAAATGTTTTACTATTATTAGGTTTGTTTCAAAATATCCTATAATAACGTTTACTCTTGTTTGGTGGTAAAATATGACGACGTCGAAAAATACTAACGTACTTCGAAAGATTGTTGATAAACAATGCATTTTGCACTTTATCCATAAATTCGTACAATCTGTACAAATCGTCTAGAATATTCTCCCTTTATATGGTTGATTTAAATTAAGAATTATAATCGTTGGTTTAGAAGCAAGATCAGTTATCTTGAGAATACTGGATACCCTGTTGCGTTACCGGATTGGCTTGTTGGAAATGCCTTCACAAAAATATCACAATCAGTTTGCTAATAGTGTGTATACATATATATCCTTAATTCTAGGAAAATTCGAAGATCAGCCTCACCAGTGTGAAGTGATGAGATTTCATCCTGTATACAGGCTCTCAGGAAGTCAATAGTTAGAGTACTGAAACAGATGAGAGGACTGATATGTTTGAGTGTTGATTGACAAGGTGTAACAGCGGATAATAAACCCCATGTTTCAAAGGCTAGTGGGTAATGTACTAGGTTGCGGCACGTGGTTCTAGTGTTATTATCGGTTGTAGAAAGTACGGTGCCTGCTGCGTCAGTACTTGTGAGGTTTGACCATGAAAAATGATAGTGATCATTTATTGATTACACCATGGTGCTGTTGTGAAGTGACAACGACAGCAAACCATATCATGCCAGGTTGAAATCATTCAAACAACAGAAAGTGTGTTACGGTGTGGAGATTAAGGTTAGCCGGGATAAATAAAGTAGCAACAAATGAATGGTTTAATAATGTCGAGCGAAAGGCAAACGTGTAAAGTGACTGAAATGCAATCCCATTGGAAAAGCTATGATAACTTCTTTTGAGTTGCACTATCGAATAGCTACTTTTTTTAAAATTACAATATTTTAAATTATGACTAGCAGTGGAATTCAAGACGGACGTTTTATCGTAAAAACCTCTCATTGTATTCATCTAGATCCTAGTGTTGATGTTCACATTCAACGCATTATATGAGTAGTTCTAGGTGAAGAGTCCCTAACAAGTTGAGATGAGTGTCCTGGATCCCACTGCTAAACACAATCTAGAAATATAAGTGACATATCAAAGCATCCCTGATGTTGATACGACGTTGAAAAATCCAACCCTTACAAATAATTATTACAATTTTTGCTCATGTTCTTGATGCTTCTAATTTATACAGATTGATTGTAGTGTAGTGGACGCTACTCACAAGGATGTTTGTTAATAGTGTTTATCGGAACGTGGCATCGAAGTTGTAACAATTGTCGGACAGAGTTTCAGTGCATCGAAAGTACGATGTTGACAGAACACTTGGACGCCAGTTGAGAAGACAGTTCAAATTGCAGAACACACCGGAAGATGTAAATAGACGACTGAAGACTATATATATGTATTATGCAAATACTTTGTAACTTCTCGCAATAAATATACATACGTTCTGCCTATTGTTGTGTTTTACAGTAGTAAAAGTACTTACAAAGACGGCAACACTACATACTGAGAACAATTGTCAGGTCTATTTATTCAAAGCACCCAATAGAAAAAAAGTTAGGTAAATAGAACCAAAAGAATAGTAATAAAATTGCTAACCACATATGAAATGAAAGGTTGTTCCGATTTTCAATATATTATAGGTAATAAATCCACTTAACAAAACTGTCCATACATTCTGTGTAAAATAAATATTCAACAATTGGAATATATATATATAATATCCAGTCTTCATCCATCATGAGTTTCGATACAACGAAGAAATTGTATAAAACGGAAACAAACTGCTGATCACAGAGGTGCCCAAGATATCATCAAGAATAAGGAACACCAAATTGTTCCCAATGGGGATTATTGGTTATGTATTATTCATTTCATATTCACTCCGACAAATATATGTGAACATTTACGAAAAAAGGAAGGATAGAAAATGTGACAAAAAGAAGTCATGTTTAGATTCATTTGAATTTAATAGGCTAAAATATAGGATAGAGTGAGTGCAGTTGTATAAAATACAATATACTAACAACGTATACAACAGAGAAAAGCAGACCAGAAGGGATAATATTAGAAACACATAGATCACATCAGTATTCATAGGAACCCTTTGTAATAATGATTAGGGATCATTAAAAGCGAATCCTCCAGCCATTTTGATATCATTGATTATAATTAGTGTCATATTTTTTACGTTGCTGATGTAGTATCGGATAAAAGTAGCCCAACTTTCAAATCATCCATATTCGGTAAAACAACTAAATGCTATTAGGCAACGAAAAAAAAGATATGGGATGTGAATATGTAGTCAACAATCATACTTGAATAAATGAAAGTTGTTATTTGAGTTTTCCAGTTACTTTTTACCTATATTTTAGTAATTACAAATATTTGCCAGTATTTCTACAAAGTTTAGGATACATTGAACAGTATAACTAAGTTACCTGAATCTAATGCATAATAGACATTTTATGTAACAAATATAGAAATGGAAATTTCATCTATTTTAGAAATCTTGTGACCCCTCCTCTGCTCTACCTCAAGATTCATATGGACACTACCAGTCCTACCCACTGCTTTCTCAAGGCAGGGGTGTTATTTACTAAATTAAAAGCGAGAAAATCGACTGTTCGGGTTGGTGGATATGGACATCCCCTAAGGGAGTTGGGAAACCCTGAATTCCAAACCAATGATGCACATGGGCTCCGAGATCTTGAGGGAGCAAAAAGCGTATGAACCTAGTGTTGGTGACTGTTATGTCTCGTAGGTTGAACGCTTTATTCAGATCTTACGCTATTCGGATAACCCCCAGGCTAGCACTACTCAGCGACTTGAAGACACGAGTAACAGAGAAAACCTTTACTGCAAGGATCATCCTTGTACGGAAAATCGTAGGTATTTATAGATGTTTGCTTAAGTTAAATCAACATCCTAATTCAGCCAATCCAATTAACGACATAAATTGCTACTGACCAATGGTAGCATGCCACGTTGGAACTCCAGAATGTTCTATCGTACTCTGATTGGTTGGGACTCTTTGAGGCTCTGTTGGAGTTCGCTGGAAGCCGACTTAACAGTGACCGACTAACAAAGGACCGAATCTCTTATCGTCGTTCCATTTTTATATGAATTGGACCTCTAAATCAAGTGCTGGGAGTGGCTTCATAAGAAAGCCGCCTGCTTCAGTTGTGGTACCCGAGTAGTATCCCAGTCCATACTCAAATTCAATAATTTCTTTGTGTAGCGGATATATATTTCGGTGCCTTTTTGTAACAATGTTTATGTTCGAATAAATAAAATCGTGAGTTAACGATTGATAGCAACTGACTGAGACTAAAAATTAATCCTTAAGATCTGTACTGATGAATATTTGGACCTGGTCCTACGTCGTTGACTTATGTGTCACAGAACCAATTAGAGGGACGTACTAATTTGTTCTAAACAATGTCTACTTGAAGTTTCAGGTACGTTTATCCCAACACTCCAATGTACAAAATTGGCCGACTACTCATGCAAGAACGCCTAAAATCATACACTTCCGTGTGTTGCTAACATTCAAAGGAGTGAGCTGAGTGTTTCGTCAACACGTTCAAAAAAGCTGCTAAAAGCTAAGAGGTGGATAAGGGGATTCTACGACGTATATTCAGAAGCCGATATCACACAAAATATTGTTCAAAAAACGTACATTCAAAGCGAACATGAAGCAGTAGATATAAGCAATTTACTATACTGTGTTCTTTAACACTTCACCGCTGGACAGAGACTTTACATTCAACATAATTGTTTTGGTGTTTGCCCATAATTACCGATCAGGATAGGATAAATGGATAAAATATTCGGTCGTAAATAACAAATAATGAACATAATCTGATACTAGGAGATAAACAATGACCTCTAAACAAAAAATGCGCTCGAATTAAGTTTATCACCTGAAATTCGAGAATCATTTTTCTCTCAATCCATTCCAATATACGTGACATTGTAACAACTTTTTCTCCAACACGAGGGCGTGCTTTAAGTCGTATATTAGGTACAGGACGAAAACCATACCACAGACGATCACTGGGTGGTGGAGGGATATTGACTAAAAGTGTCCCACTTAACATTTGTATCTAGGTAGTGACAAACCAAAAGAAAAAAACTAATAATAACAATAGAGCAAAACCATATTGGGAAATTTAGTTTCTATCTGGTTACATTAAAAATCAAATAAACCTATGAACATACATGTGGCATATTGTGATCAATGTAAATAAACACACAGAATTTGTGAAGAAGTAACTTCAGTCAGTCAGTCACAACGTAGGACTTCGTACATACGTACATCAGTTCGAGTTGCCATACCAAATTAGCACAGAGATGCAGTTGTCGATTCAAATCCTATAGTGATAGAAGTAGTAAGAGTATAAGCATTATGTGAAAGATTAGGGTTTGAAGATGTTATTGAAGGAGTATAATACAGTGAAATAAATTTGGAGAGAGAAAAAAGATAGGGACATGGAGAATTCAGAAGATTAGAATTTGACAGAACACAAAGAGTGGATGCATCTTCGCCATTGCAAACGATTTTGAGCCATGTCATTCAAGGTCTCTAACCATCGGTTGCTATCATCTCGCGAATCCCAACCAGGTAGTCTACATCTACCAACATGGCTCAGTCCACTTGTCAGTGACTTCATGGTTTTGTGCCACGTTTTGGTCTGACTGCCTCTAGCTTTCTTCCAACCTACACTTACGCCATAAAACATTGCACGTCTGGACAATCGGTGGTTGGGCATACGTAACACATGTCCCAGCCATCTCAACCGATAAAGTTTCACTACTTCATCAATCGATTTGCCATCATTACCTGATACCCATTTCCTAACAACTGCATTACTTACCCGGTGGTCCCAGGATATACAAGCAATGCTTCGAAGACACCTGTGATCAAATACTAGTAGCCTACGAATATCCTCTGCTCTTATCGGCCATGTTTCACTGCCATAAAGTAGAACGAAACGAACTGCTGCACAGCAGTTAGAATCTTACACCATCGAAGTGTGCTGCGTCTCCAAAGAAGTAACTTATGGGGAGAGGATTAACGGAATAAAGTACACGACAAAATATGACCTAATTAGGCATAGCAGATTACATTATTTAAGATGAGATTAAAAAGTGATTATATGGCCACGTCAGAAATTACAATTCTTTTTTTGCCGAGTTATGATCCTTGATATATTTACAACTTAACTTCAAGACAAAATTCTCCCATGAAGTTCAAACCAACAGCAAGAAACTTGATGGTTCGGTATCTCGTTGTAATCTCTCTACTGTCACAATTGAGTAATGCATCAAATCAAATGGTTAGGGTTGACTGAAATCAATGTTTTGATCACCTGCTATTTATTGCAATTCTACACTCTAGTATTATTGATTTTCGTTCTTTTTATTATCATAAATTTTGGGCAGATATTATTTATGAACTTTTAGTCCCATAGTTCATATATATATGGTAAGATCATATACGTAATCGTTTTTTGCTTGGGAAAGCAACATCTCTCCTGATTTCTCGTCTGCTATGCAATCGCGCGTGATGTTCTGTATTAATTACCGATCTATCTAGTTCGCGTAGATCCCGCTTAGTATGAGAATAATCTTAACTATTACAAAACCATTCAAATTTCAAGACTTTAGGGATTTTAGATACAAAAATGTCAGTTTCTGAGATACAAATTTAAGACACAAATATGAGTATCCACTTGAACTTTATGCAAGTTTGAAGACAAAGTCATAAAAAAAATTTATTTATTTATTTAAACACATATATATTGGTACAACATAAAATAATGCCCAACTCGTACTTTTGTTTCTTGTCGAATTTAAAGTTTTCGAACATTTGTCTATGTTTAATAGACAGATGAACTTCGACAAGATGTTGAAATTCTTAAATAACTGTTGCCCTTGAAATGTAGTTACATAGACCGACAAACCATCATACCAATTCCTACACTACTTCTGTAGGTAAAATAACAAGTGGAAGCTTATAAAAGATTAAGAATGCTCCAAGTGACATCCAGATGATAAATACAATGTATGTTACACTCTCGACTAGAGAGAACATTGATAAATATCCCATAAGAAAATAAACTGACAACAACACATAAGTTCGTTACATCAAATGGATAGATTTCATGTTAAATACTTTATAAATAATAAATGTTCCCGTATCATCAGGAGAGTGAAATTGTGAAGGAATGAATTATAACAATTTCTCAGATAATAATTAATAGCGTAGTTTGTTCTGTTGTGTTCGCTAATGACAACTAACCGACTCATTAGAATATATGACATATGAGTATATATATATATATATATATATATATATATATATATATATATATATACGTACTGCCTTGTTTCTTGGCTAGATGTTAGGGTAATCTATATACATGAAGTTAAACAAATTATGAAGACGAACACTTCAGTCAGATAAGATTTTATTTATTAACTCTGAGTAAATAGGACAACAAAAAATAATGGTATTACAATTAAGTATGAAGTGTACGGTGCAGTCCATTACATTGTGAAGAACATTTACTGAAATTAAATAACAATGAAAATCTACTGATATTTTATCCTAAATATCTATGAAAATTTAAGTGTTAGAAAAATCTAAGTGACTCTAAAAGTCATGGTAAAGATTTAAAAAAATACGAAAGTATGTACCTAAAATATCCTTGATTTATCCAAGAGTACGAAAACTGAATAGTAGACTTTTCAGCTTTAATTGCTACATATCGTAGAAATCGATGACTGAAGACATACAGTGATAAAGCCTAGATAAGATGTCATGAACTTTATTTAGTAGTTATTATTGAATTTTCAAGGATTCTCTGTTTTGACTTGATCAGGTATAGATTACACAATTAATTTTTTTGTAATCTTATATTTATTAGTCAACAATTAATAAACTGATAAAGAGTGATATTAGAAAAAACGGAAAATGTTATAATCAATCTTCTAATGGTTTACGTTATTTCTACCTTGTTCAAAGAAAAAGGACATACCTCAACTTGTAATATAATTGGTGTGTTTGACAAACGTTCCATACCACGCTGGACTAGTTTTGTATCAACGGCTCTTTGAAAATATGAGGATTTGGTGATACGATCAACAATACGTATAATTCTTCGACGAGACGGTAAGACAGGTTGTAAATTTACTGGACTAAAATACAAAAATAATTCATTTAAAACAACAAAAATAAATAAATCGCTTCAATCAGTCATACTACTACTGATTAGAATATTATTAAGATATTAAAATCAAGAAATCTGTAAAATGAAATGTTCAACTTATTGTATCATCACCAGGATTTCGGTATAAAACATTCTAAGTTAATTGTTACTAAATGTCAAATATGAAGAAACTTGTCGAACACATAAATTCTAAATGCTTGCTTTAATTTTAGCACAGTTATGGAAAAGAACAAAATAGGCATTTAAAATACTAGTTTGTCAGATAAATGAAGAGCAAAATTTGTTTTGCTCTCTCAACTATGAATAGGTGAATTTGTTATCTGATTCGGGTAACCAAGAAATAATTAAAAGCCACTTGAGAATGTTTTTCATCACGGACTAGCAACAAGTGACGTAACTTCGCAAATCAGGGAGGATCAAACAGTTATTTAGTCGAGATTTGAAATTATCCAGATGGTTAGGTGATTGATTTGTTAAAATTCCAAACTCTGAGCAGCAGGTTTGCGAAGTTCCCTTTGTCTATTTAGGTTTGATTAACTTTTAAGTATTAGGCATGACCTAAATCTGCACTTGACTAGTGAGTTGAAATATTTATTAACTATATAAAGCTACTGGTGAGTGTTTCAAATCCAGGTAGATGGATAGAGGGATGGGGAGAAAGAAGTGATACAATGACTAATCAAGGTAACCTACACACAAACTGTTTTTTCCATTAATACAAAATCTCAACTCAATAAGCTTCATTATCAATCTGTATTTTAATTTCTAAATTTCAATTGTATGTATAAAGTGACCAAAGTACAAAACATATAATATTTGTGAATTTAAAAATAATCAAATGTTGGGTTAGCCACCTTATATCAGTCGTTAAGATAAACCAACTTGACATTAATACTGTTTTTTATGGCAGACGTAAATAAAAACAATCAGACAGATGTGATAAAAACAAAACATTAACGAACAAACTAGGGACTTTATAGATATTTAGAAAACTAACACTAATTCTATACTGATTTACAAGTAACAAACAAATTAAATTTGGCTGAATCTATATAATAATAAATGGTGAATAAAATTACTATTTTAGCAATGAAAAACTGAAAGGATCATCTACGCCTAACTACTAGTAACAAATAACGATATGGAATGATGACTTCTTAGTTTCTAGTCAAAATACTCTTTTGAGTCTTACACAAAGTATGGTTCGAAGCTGAATACATAGACGGATTACATAGAATACAAATTCATACACACAGAGGAAGAGTAAAAACAGAAGGTACAAATCTTTATCATGCAATTGTAATCCAGGATTAAACAAAAATATTTTCCACTGGTTACATTGTACATAACTATCACATTTAAGTCATTTATACGAGATATAGGACCTGGTATACCAAATCTAACTTATCTGAAAAGCTGTATTAAGTGAATATTTTTGTCAGAGATATCAAAAGTGTACTAATGATATTGCATGATAAATACCGAAAGATAATTACGATCAACTCTGCGATGATGAAGATATGTAGCTCAAGAAGATAATTTCGGAGGTACTGTGATCTCAAAAGTGAAGTATGTGCAAATGATGTTGTCTGGAGAGACAACAAAACCTCCATGATAAAACCATCTAGCACAGAAAACATAAACTGTATTTAGTTAATTAACACAAAAGACAGTTCGATAGTTACCTTATAAACAAAAATATAATGTTACAATCGGCTGAAATGTTTTAATTTAATTATTATTTATTTAAACACATATATATTGGTACAAAAGGGAACCAGGTACATATGCGCCACACAAAATAATGAAAGTAGGGAGGGAAGGGATGAAAAGATAATGCGGACTGAAATGTACAACCAGAAGATTCTTTCAGTTAGGAAAGTTAGAACCATTCTTTATGTAGAAAGTAAAAGAAGGTTGCAGCAGGATCGCCACTGGCTTCTATTCTGAGCCATATCTGATAACGTCTCTAGCCACTGTGTTGCACCATCTCTCGGACCCCAACCAGGAAGTCGTGAAGGACCAACAGAAGCTAGCCCTTTGCAGCTTTCTTTCATGCCACGACACCATGTCATACACTGACCTCCTCTCCGCTTTTTCCAACCAGTCCCAGGGTCGGCAAATAATGCACGACGTGGAAGTCTCTGGGACGACATTCGTAAAACATGTCCAAGCCACCGAAGTCGGTGTTTCAAGATGGTGACACCAATTGAATTATCGTCTCTGCGCCCGAACACACGATGCCGAACCTCTGCATTACTAACATGGTGTTGCCACTGGATGTCAGCAATCCTTCGGAGACAACGATGATCGAACACAGAGAGACGTCTAACATCCTCAACTCGGAGAGGCCAGGTTTCACAAGCATAGAGCAAAACTGCTCTCACCGACGCGTTGTAGATCCGACCTTTTACAGCCAGACTAACATCACGAAGGCGCCAAAGATGGCCCAGATTGGCATAAACCGCTCTGGCTTTCACTATACGTGCATCAATCTCATCACTCACGCCACCACCAGCACTTATATAGCCACCTGGATACACGAACTTCTCAACTACTTCGATCTCCTCACCATCCAGGGTGAGTACAGGATTAGAATCCTGCCAGTCTTGTAGGAGTACTTTGCACTTGGAGGGTGCAAAGCACATGCCGTACCTGCGGACACTGATTGCCAACTGATTAAGTGCTGATTGCATGCCTTGGGCATTATCGCACAGTAAGACAATATCATCCGCATACTCAAGGTCGAGAAGTCGTTCTCCAGGCAGCAGATCCAAACCGCCATTACTTACATCCATCAGAGCTGTTTCCAGGATGTCGTCGATGGCAAAGTTGAAGAGGAATGGTGAGATCGGGCAACCCTGCCTAACCCCACTGCTCGAATGGAACAAGGGAGAAAGGTGGTTGTATGCCCTCACTCTGCCTGAGGTGTTCGTATACGGGGCCTTTAAGATGTTAATGAACTTCTCAGGCACACCCTTCTTCAATAGACAATCCCAGAGAACAGTCCTGTCCAACGAATCGAAGGCCGCCCTGATATCAAGAAACACTACGATAGTTGGCCTGCGATAAGTATGACGGTGTTCTAACATTTGGCGGAGGGTGAAGATGTGATCAATGCATCCTCGACCAGAACGAAAACCAGCCTGCTCCTCGCGAGTCAATCGTTCTCGCGTTTTAAACAACCTACGAAGAATGATAGAAGCCAATAGTTTGGACGCAATCGGAAGTAGACTTATCCCCCGATAGTTATTGCAGGAACAACGTGAACCCTTTTTAAAGATAGGGGCGACTATTGACTCATTCCATGATGTTGGAACACTTTCTTGCTCCCAAACCTTTCCAAACAACGCAGTCAATTCCTTAGTCAGAAAGTCACCACCATCTTTAAAAAGAGCCGGAGGTAAGTCATCTGGGCCCGGTGATTTGTAACGTTTCAAGAGTTGGAGTTCCTTGCGGACTTCCGCCTCGTTTGGTGGATCAGTCGTCACCGGCCATGGGGGGCAGGACAAGCTGGTTGATGTTGCCGGAGCAGCAGGCCAGTTGAACTGCCCTTCGAAAAATTCCGCCCATCGTCCAAGACGTCGACAGATGTTAGTGATTGGCATCCCGTCATCCTCGTAGATTGTTTCACTCACACCAGACTTCTTGCTGCCAGTGGCTCGGATGAGTTGGAAGAGCTTCCGGCAGTTACCAGATGCAGCTGCTGCTTCCGTCTCATTAGCACGCTCCGACCACCAGGCTTCCCGGTCCTTACGCAAGCTTCGCCCGATTTCATTACGTAACAGTCTTCGTTTGTGGTCAAAATCACGGTCACCCGGAGTAGACCGACGGGCTTCCATCAGTTGTAAGGAGCCAGAAGAGACCCAGTGCTTGTAAGCGGGACGTTTCGCGAAGCCGCAAGCGACTTTACTCGCCATTTTCATGGCGTCGTGAAGAAGCAACCAATGCTCATCTATACTTTTCGGTGGGATGGTAGCTAGCCTAGAAGCTAGCTCCGCTCGATACTTACTTGCAACAGAAGTTGCAGCCAGTTTACTAATATCAATCCGTTGGTGGTGGTCAATCCTTCGGCCACTGAAAAGTAAGGTGAGATTGGCGCAGAACAGGGCATGATCAGACTCCAGATAGGTACTCCAAAAGGAGAGGATATTATCATCAATAGAGTTCATCATTTCATTCATTTGTGTGTGGGCTGTGATACTGCCCGGGTGCCCAAACCGAAGCAGGTGGTTTTCTTAGGGGGCCACACCCCGAGCCTTTGACCTAAAGGTCTGATCCACAAGGCAGTGGAGCATCGTGAGGAGATGCAGTCCCATGGTAGCCGTTGACCAATGATAGGTTCTTCCGCCATTCGTTCCATCAGGATGAGATAATCACAAGTGTTTTATTTTATCAAAATAATCTTTTACGATTAGCTTACATAAGTTACCTCTAGTGGAGGAGCATAGGCCGTCCACTAGCACTCTCCGTCTAACCCTGTCCTGGGCAATCTTTCCCAATTCTTTCCAGTTGTGTTATTCATCCTTTTCATAATATGCTTCTATTTCCCGGCGTAATGTGTTCTTTGGCCTACCTCTTTCACACTTCCCTTCCGGATTCCAAGTTAGGATTTGCCTCATGATGTAGTTTAGTGATTTTAGCAATGTATATCCTATCCACTTCCAATGTCCTTTCCTAATTTCCTCCTCAGCTGGAAGCTGGTTTGTCCTCTCCCATAAAACGCTGTTGCTGATAGTATCCGGCCAGTGAATGTTGAGTATTTTGCGCAGACAACTGTTTATAAATACTTGTACCATCTTGACGATGGTTGTAGTAGTTCTCCACGTTTCAGCTCCGTACAATAGGACTGCGTTTACGTTCGTATTGAAGATTCTGACTTTGATATTGGTTGACAGTTGTTTTGAGTTCCATATATTCTTTAATTGTAGGAATAAGGTCGTTGCTTTGCCAATCCTCGCCTTTGCA